CCCCCGCAACGGGTTGTGTTTAACCCAGCATTTTTTATACCTCAAAATGTGGGAGAAAATGTTTCCAGAACAGTATATTTGCATAGTAAATCCATAGTCTTATGTGTATTTACTGTAATGTTAGTACATATTATTTCACCTAATATAAAGTGTGATTGTCTTTATAATTATATGCATGTATAATATATAATATAATATTAAACAAATGTTCAGGAGAGTATCACAAAGCATGCCTCTGCATTCCTCTGCTTGCAAACCAGGCGCAGCGCATCCGGGTTCTAGTCTCTTTCATCAGCAGCAGCACACGCATGCATCATGGTACTTTCCTAATTGCAGAGCGGAGACTGACACAGAAGGGAAGAACTGTTGAATAAAGTCGTTATTTTTGTTTTCTTTGTGCACAAAAAGTATTCTCATAGTTTCAGACATTACGGTTGAACCACTGATGTTACATGGGCTATTTTAACATGTCCCTACTACCTTTCTGGACCTTGAACGTGGTAGTTCCCTTGCTGTCTATGGAGGGTCAGAAAGCTCCCAGATTTGAATTCAAAAATATCTTAATTTGTGTTCCAAAGATGAAGGGAAGGTCTTACTGGTTTGGAACAACCAGAGTGAGTAATTAATTATATAATTTTCATTTTTGAGTGAACTATCCCTTTTTACTAACAATTTAATATCAGTAGATAGCTCTACAAGTTTTGCCCTGTTACCAAAATTTCAGACATTTCTGAATATACTTTAAATCTCTGAATTGTGTTGTTTAGTTACTTACTAAATATATAATTTGTATAATCACGAACTAGTTAATCATAGGTTAAAAGTTCTTAAAGGGGTCCTATTATGCTCTTTTACAAAGTCTTGATTTTGTTTTGGGGGTGCACTAGAACAGGCTCTCATTCTAGTTTGTTCGAAAAACACATTATTTTTCAGATATTTTACATTATTACAACTCTCTCCCCAGCCTGGCATGAACAGCTCGAATAGTTCCTGTATCAAATGAAGGCCCGCCTTCTGAAATACGAAATGTGCTGTGAATGGTTAGCTGGGCCAGTGTGCGCTGTGATTGCTTAGCTGGGCCAGTGTGCGCTGTGATTGGTTAGCTGGGCCAGTGTGTGCTGTGATTGGCAGCACTCTGCGCCTGGTCGGGAAATGTCATGCCCCTTACCATAGCCGCCTGCGAGCTTCAGTGTAAATATTGTGTCAAAATCAAATCAATTTGAGCACGATTTAAACCCGGATGATTGTAATCACTCTAAGTTCGTCTGCCTTGAGAAAGCTAGCGTGTCTCCGACATAGTGATAACACTCGTTGCCTTCTCTAGTGCAGCTCAACCAGGTCTCGTCCCATTCGTCAGTATTTGTGATATCATAAATCCCGGAAAATATGTGTTGTAGTCCAAACGAGTCGTTCATTGTAGTTTTTGAAAAATGATTTCTGTTAAATAAAATATCTCCTTTTGAAGTGGACTTTGAGCTTTGTAACTTTGCAGATCTTGTTTATGCTCAAACAGCAACATTACAGACTAACTAAAGTTGAAAAAGTGAAAAAGCATAATAGGACCCCTTTAAAAAAAATTAAAATCTAGGTCTAAGCAGAGTTGAAAAAATGTCCAGTAAGCCCTAGCTTTGACACTTTGGTGAGTATTGAAAATAACCGCACACAGGTTCTGAGACTGCAAGTCTTCAGATTCACACTGCAGTTTGAGTTTTTGGGCTGCAGAAGTGTGTGCTGGTGCAAGCACTCTCTCAGGTTCAGAGCCTGGTTGTTTCCTTGACTATAGTTTGTGAGAAAGTTTGCAGGTCAGCTCAACCAGGTCTGTACAAACACACACAAATGGTGCTGGACTGAATGTGACCCTGTCCCACAGGGAAGATTAACATATTACATCCATATCTATGTATTGTTTAGAAAACAGAAGATGCTACTGTTTTTTTTTTATTATTATTATTATTCTGAATTTCTGAAAAGAAAGATGCATGCAGACCTATATGCCAAGAAAACGTAGAAAATATTTTGCAGTAAATCTAATATTTTCTAAAGAGGTCTCTATGCATGCCTGAAAATGGCGATGTTAAATAGCAATAAAATAGCAGTTGTTAAATAACAGGTACTTGGAATTGCAATAATTTATTGTTAAGACTTCAAACCAGCAGACAATTTCACTGCTCTCGTTTGGTCCACAAGAGGGGGCCAGAAACACACGAAAATGGATGCTGTCAAAACAAATTGAAGCTTTATCAGCTTTATTTTAAGAACAATATATCAGTTACACCATACCAAAGCATAGAAAAGACAATATATTTCAATTATAGAAATTAGTTTAATTTTCTTGCTACTCACATTTAAAACAAACCAAGCAAATCCAATTGAAAAGCGCAATGAAAAGTGAACAGTGCTTTGCATAATGTTGATTGCTTTATGAAAATGCATGCTGGAATTATTTTCCAGCACAGTATACTACACCGTAGATTCCCTTTGACTCAATGCATTTTCCTAGGGCAGTGAGATTATCTGAGAGCATGCAAATAACTGGTTGCTATAGTGTCTTGTGCAGACTGATTAATTAAAATATAATTCTGTTTAGCTCTTTCGGTACAGAGATGGCGTTGTTATTTTAAAAACTCCCAATGCCTGCTCGATCCAGCCAAATGTGTATTTGGATCACAGGTGTCTAACATTTCAGTTTCACATCTATTTAGCTGCTTCAAAACGTTTAATACAGATGCCAGAAAATAAACAGCAAAGTGGACATCAGCTCACCGCATGACATTAATGTGGCCTTGATAACAGTGCTCTGTTGTGCAGCTCGTCAGGTTCGGTTTGGGAGTGTGCTTATGCAATAGAGAGCATTCCAGTGTGTCTCTCATCATCTTACCTTGGCACTTTTGACAGAAGGTGTGTGGTTAGTTTGGCCAGACGTTAGTGTCATGCCCATGTTATTTACCTGTCTGTCCTTTCACTGTGTGTGTGTGTCTTCCAGAAGCTGCTAAGGGCTTCCTGGCCAGTATAAGAGAAGTGCTGTGTGAGCAACAGATTTCAGAGAGTCTCTTAGCCTCATTTCCTGGGCGGAGAGCTTTCGGCTCTAGTGAAGCAACAGCAACCCTAAAGGAGAGCGAGTGAGTGAGCTCGAGTGGGATATAGAAGTTATTGGAACGCAAAGCTCTCACAAATCATTTGGTCACCAGCAAGCTCTGACAAGCGAGGAGAGGGAGTGCGTTACAAGAGGGAGCTAATAAAAAGAGTGCTGTACGAGAGAGAAGGAGGGTCTGAAGGGCTTTTTTTTTACTCCACACTGAGGTCAAAAGGCATAAAAGTGGACAAACAGAAAAGAACAAAGGCAAAACGGGAAGGGAAAAGGACATTGGCTGTCACTGCTGCGGTTCACACGTTTACTGCCCGGCAATGGATCTTTCCACTTGTCTTTGTAGTGGGAAAAGCTTGTTTGAAGAGAAAACGAGGTTGTAGCCCTTCTACAAAACACTGTTACTTATTTTGACTGATAACTTGAGAAGTCTTTGCTCTGTACAGAGTTATTCAAACTTGACTGAACTTCTTGACCATGTTTTAGGTGCATTAAAAGCAGGGTTTTTTCTAACACAAGGTTTGCATGTTAAATGAAGAACTTTCAAACTCTGCAAATCTCCGTTACTGTTATCGGATTGTCTGAATGCTTCCGGAAAATTCCGTAAACCTAATGTTGTAAAAGCAAACTTTTGAGGAAATCTTAAAGCTGGACACGTCCCTTTGTCTCAATGCAGGATGCAGCTGGATGGGGTTGTCTGGTTTAGCCCAATAGTTAACAGGGCTTCTTTAGTGGTTTTCGTGTGAGATGACAAAACATCGGCTGGAGCATCAAAACCAGAGAAGCTCAGAGGGGTGGAAAGCTGTGAGCAGAGAGGAAAGTTAGTGAGCAAACACGCTTACAGACGTGTCATTGTATCTGGACCTCTGCGTGTTTTCACAGCGGGAACTATCCAAGTCCAGAGGAGAGAAAAAGAGTCAGTCCAGACGCGTGGACACACACAAGCATTTCTGTGTGCGACTGCCAGCAGTGAGCCGGCGATAAAGTTGTGCCGATAGGAGAAAAGCTTGTGTTTGGGAATTTTTTTACTGAAATTTATGCTTGGACGCATATGTACAAGTGCATGTCAGTGCTTGGCGGCGTTCAGGTCTTTGTGTGCATCTAAGCTTGTTTATGTGGGAGAGTTGTTGTTCCATTTGGCCAACCTGCACCTGGATGGACCTCTGAAACAGGTGAGGCATCAGGAATTTCCCTTATTAGATATCAGCTGTTCTGTTGGCTTCATTATTCAAGGTGCTTTCCAGAATCATCATCAGGTAGCATCACCTCCATAATAACAACACTGCCGTGTCTGTTTGATCCAAACACTCTGCATCAATCACAGACTCTTGGTGAGCCTCTCTCTCCTTACCTAAAGACAGTTTGCTCTCAGATTTGGCACCATGAGGTTGCTTTGCTTGGTAGTGACGGCCCTGTGCATGGTGGCTAGAACGGGAAGCATGTCCACGTGCAAAACTCTGGACCTGGAGGTGGTGAAGAAGAAACGGATTGAGGCCATCCGTGGTCAGATCCTCAGCAAACTGCGCATGGCCAAAGAGCCTGAATCGGAGATAGACGGTGATGGACAGAAGATCCCAGATACCATGATTTCTCTGTACAACAGCACTGTTGAACTGAGTGAAGAAATGAAGATGAAGCCCGTTTCTGTGCAGGCTGAAGATGAAGATTACTTTGGCAAGGAGGTGCACAAGTTCGTCATCCGGCAAGGTAAGAAGTGTCCATCTTTAGAGACAATTTAACATCATGTCCTATTCAAGTCGGCATTCTGCGGTGAAATATTTTTATATAATAATCACTTTATAACTATAATTATAATTGACAGCTGTAGAATTGAACTATTTCCTAGGCAATGATTTTCTGCATGTCTGTGCTAGTCTCATGTCTCTCATTTCATTTGACAGTTTATTTTACATAGTTAAATAAGGTGAACTCACACCAAAATGACATGTCATTTATTTACTTTTATGGAAATGTAAAATATGACAAATATTGCCCTATATCAAGAGTGACTCTGTCATATGTTACCTATAAGATGATATAAATAAGATGAAAATTTGTATGTAATATTATATGCAGCAATATATATATACAGTATATATATGCAATCTTTATTAAAACACATCTCTATGTTTACTTTTTAATGTCTATCTTTTAGATTTACTTATATAACATCAACATGTATTGATGATTTTAGGATATATACATCAGCATGACATATATGTCCACAAACAAATCACACATACAGTACATGAACATACATATTTATATGGGCTATGAAATTGTTAATTTCTAATAGGTTTCATATGCGTTTTAACTTCTTGTGACAGTATAGTTCCTTTACATAAATGTAACGCATATGCTGATTTAGTAAGTAGCCATTTAATTAAGTGAAATATACAGTCATCCAGTCATTACAAAGGTTGAATCTTTTATTTCTTTTATATATTTTCTTTACTGAAATATTAGTGTCATTCAAGTATCACGAGTCTTGTTTCTTTAGCTCTGTGAAAAGCAGACCAACATGTCCAGTTCAGATAATTAATGTTAGGTTCTCTTAATGCTGTAACAACTCGTATGTGAAGAATCGTGATCTCATAGCTTTGTGTTACGTGTTCCCCTAAAAACCCCTCATGCATTCACTTCAGATCCCCTCATGCTCAGGGGAGCTAGGCAGCAATTCATCCCATTTCATCGTCGCCTTCAGACTATCTGTGGTATTTTAATAGCCTAGTTGTTTTTGCTGTTGGCGTCATGTGTTAGAGATTGTTAAACTCAAATCCTTAACAACAAGTTCTTGCTCTTTACCTCATTTTACCACTTCAAACACTTCAGACATAAACATCAGGCCTGTGATCCGATACGCGCGGTGAATAAAGACCTCCGTGGAGATGGGGCTTGCTCGAAGGATGAAAACCAAGGACAAAGAGAAACTGTTGATAAGGGTAGACGAGTCAGATCCGCTGTCCTTCTCACTAATTCTGTTTTTCCTCTGGGGTTAGGGGCTTTCCTGTAACTGAGCCATCTATTTTGTGTCTCTTACTGGTTCTGTCTTTTTGCTCTATTTTTGACAGGCCCATTTGACAGCAGAGTGGGTTGCTTGTTTCTGAGTGTGATTAAGATTTAGAGGAAATAGTCCCAAATAGCAATGTTGAATTCCCCCTTTTGCGGTTTCCGTCATGGGACAAAAGTCCTCTTTATGTTCTTGTGTTTGTGTAAGGCTTCTTACATTTGTTTAAGGTGGAATGCATTTTAATAAATAAGTCCTGATGCAAGTGCAAAGCCTCCCACGCTCAGTATTTACAGTCTGTAGTACTGTAGTAATTGCTTACTTTTGCAAGACTACGTTACACAAGAATTAACTGGTGGACAGTATGTGAAGCAATTCCAAGGCTGGAGCCTCAAATGTAAATGAATAATTAGATTTTTACATTTGCTGAAGAAATCTGTGTTTACACTACATTTTGATAATCCACGTACATTTTTTTTTTTACTTTGCATCTACATGTTAACTAACGCTCATTAGAGTATTAGTAGGCTGTGAGGTTATGGTTACCCCATGCTTAAACCAAGCAAATATCACGGCCCTAGTGCCAGGGTGTAGTGTGTGGTTTCCTGGGAGTTTCAACGTTTTTATAACATTACTATGTGGTTGCTAAACGGTTGCTAGGTGGTTTCAAGTAAAATTGCATGATTTGAGGTATAATTCATGTCTGTAGCATAAACGGTGTTGTGTGAGTTAAGGCTGGAATACACTACACAACCTCTAAAATCTAAACAGATTTTAAAACACTAGGCATCATACACTTGCCAACTTTATAAATTACAGAGAGGAAAAACTGGGCATCGCACACTAAATGGCTGAGGATCACTCACTACCATACTTTTCAAGTCATTTCAAACTCAGCAAACTGACATAGAAACATGTGACAAATGAAAACAACATGTTTTCAAACATGTTTTGATCAGTGTTGCGGGTAATGCATTACAAGGAATGTAATCAGATTACTTTTTCAAGTAACTAGTAAAGTAATGCATTACTTTTGAATTTACAAGAAAATACAGGTTATTTAGTTTTTATCCATTCATTCACTGACTCCTCTCTGGTCTCTGTGTTGACAGAGATTGGCAGTGAGGCATTTCCTTCAGCCTGAGGCTAATAATTTCACTTTTGGTGTGAAAGAGCCTTTGCAGGTTCCAAAAATATAACCTTTGGGTTTCTGATATTAAAAACAAAGGAGGCAAGCCCAGCCCAGGTGACAAAAAGTAATGCAAAAGTAACGTAATGCATCACTTTTCATAAAAGTAAATAAGTAGCGCAATTAGTTACTTTTTTTTATGGAGTAGCGCAATATTGCAATGCATTACTTTCAAAGTAACTTTCTCCAACACAGGTTTTTGATATCTGGATGGAATTATAGTCTGAAGGTAAAGAAAAAAAAAATCTATGAAATCTGTCAACTCAAACTTGCAGATTGAATTTTGACAACTAGCATCAGCTTGTCCAGACTGTAAATCGGGCCAAAAATCTAGGCAAAAGGGGCGTAATGTATTCCAGCCTGTATGTGAAAAAATATATTAAAGATCAAGGTTTGTTCTAATAGTATACATAACTATGCTTGCCTTAGGAAACACCAATAATCATTTATATTGTGGATTTTTATTGTTGCAATACTTTTAAATGCATTCAAGAAAGCAGAACAATCCTCTTGTAATCCTTGTTGAACACAGATAGAAAAACATCATGTGCTTAGCCTTGTCCATTTTGAAATAGAACCCCTACTTTTAGCAATGAGAGTGTGTTGAAATATTTTTCAGGATTACAGACTTGTTTTTGTAGGATTATGGATTGCTGTCATTGTCTAATGTGGTGTTCAGGGTTCTTTCCGTTATGTTTTCGTTCAGTAGCATAGATGTTTAACTTGCTACAATGCCAATTTTGCCACATTGTATTTGATTTGGAACATTTATTTTTTTACCTTATGGCTTGCTAGACTCAATAGTATCTGTTAGCTGAAGGTAGATGAAAGAGATGAAGAAAAATATATTGTTGACTGTGCAGTTGTGTATTCATATATTACGCTGTCAAATCAAGAGTGCTCAATTTACAGCCATGCCCTGCAGCAATGCCCAAGTTTCCATGTCCTTCTTCAGGCCAATCAGTCTGTTCTACTGCATGTGTGCTATTTTTCATTTCATGTTATCACATGTCAAAGATTGTGCTGACTGCACAGCTCATCTGCCGGGAAAGTGTGTCATGTCTCAATGTGATTGGAGCAGCACAGATAGTCGAGGACGCAGAGAGTTATGATTCTATGGATGGCGATAGTAAGAGGAGAGGAGTGTAAAGCGTGTGTTTTGTAGAGGCAGATTTTTAAGCCTGCTGGAATCTGGTTGCACCCATTACTAATGATAGGCCTGTCTCAGTGCCTGTTAGGACAGCTGTCCTGGGTTTACCTGAGCGCCAGCCTGCATAAACACACACAGAAATCCGTCTCCACCCTCATCTGATCCACCATACACCATCAACAAAGAGCTGTGCCTTCAGTCCTTGACACCTTTTATATATGACCACAGGTATTGATGCATGGGACCCATTATAAAATAGTTTCCAAATCAATGTGATATATCCCTCAACAGTGAATAGAACATGTCCAACATGTACAAGCTAATGAGAAGAAAAAAAAATCATTATAGCTATTGGATAAATCTTATGAAAGCATGTGGGTCACATTTCAACCCAAAACCACAAGAAAAGAAAAGAAATGATATATATAGTACTCTCACATTACTGTTATTTATACGCAGACTGATGAGAACGGGTTGGGATGTTTTACCATGTGGTTATTTATTAAGACAATACAAAAAATACTACAGTACATTGCTTATTTTTTATACATATTATTAGTAATATAATTAAATATATCTCTCTCTGTTTATAACCAAGCTAATTAGAAAGTATTATTGCTATTGGGTAAATCTTATGAGAACATATCCAGGTCTCATTTCACTCTTAAAAAAAAGATGGTAGTAGTAGTAACACTATTCACTATTAACTAGTTGCTTTTTAGTATGCATAGCCTATTGTTATTGTCTATTTATCAGTACTTATAAAGCACAGATTTATGGCTTATTCTTACCATATTCTACATCCCTTAATCCTACGCCATACCTAAACTTATCAACTACAAGTACATTTCTTACTCAATAAGCAGCCAATTAGGAGTTTACTGAGGGAAAACTCTTAGTTAACAGTGAATCGAAAGTGTTACTGAAGATAGTAGTTGCGTGCAGATAGATGGTTAGTGGAATTAACCACAGAGAATATCCCACCCATCCTCCTGCAGATATCCAGCAACCTCTGATGATCTCAATCATGCCATCATCTGCTCTCCGATTGTCACAACGCTGAGCTCCAGCGCAGGAAGTCCCCTCTCTGACAAACTTTGCATTTAAATGTCAAGCTTTAAATGTCAAAAAATAATGTCTTGTTTTAATGTCATGTGTAGAGTTGGTTTCCTGCATAACGTGTGATATATAGCTGCAAAATTACTAAAAAGAAATATATAAATAGACATGAAATACTGATTTGAAGATCATTTATTATATGGGAAGAAAAAGAGAGTGGAGTTATATGAGAGACACTAGCACTGTATATTGCAGTATGTTGGAAATCAGTTGCCTGGAACAATGGACATTTAAGTCAAGTAAATACATACAAAAATAACTGCAGGATTCTGCACTGACCAATCACATTGAAATATAGCAGCGTAAATATCTAATAAATATATCTATTCCATTTTCTAGAGCTATAAAACTTCCACAGTAGCCCTACGTAGTGCTCTGAATGTAACACTGGATGGTGTGACTGATCTCATGTATCAAGACTGAACCGGTTAAACTGATCCCGGTAGCAGCTACATACAGCGGAGTTAGTGCCAAACTAATGAAAATGTATCCCTACAAGCTATCTAAATAAATCCAGTTATTCCTTCTTCTTAAGTTTTATTTAAGCGCACTGAATACAGTGATAGCATTGCTTTAATATACTCTACTAATCATGGAAGAGTGATGGATGTTTCATTCAGCGTGGTCTCTTTTAAGCTTTCCGTCTGATGTGTGTGTAATTAGTAGTGTTTGCTAAATCAGATTCTTACAGCTAGGATTAGGATTTATTTTAATTAAACCCCAAGTAATAAACTACTGGCAAGTCTAGTCAAGTCACCTATGTTTCTATAGCGCTTTATACTATACAAATTGTGTCAAAGCAGCTTCACAGTAATATATAGGAAAATAACAGAATCAGTGATGCAAACTTCATCCAATGTGAGAAATTCAAATGTAATTATTCAGTTCAAGTCAGTTCAGTAACTGTGTAAAGTTAATCAATGATATAAATAATTCAGTAAGCAGCTCTACGGAAGACAATAGTGTCATTATTTAGCTGGCGTCAGTTCATTATTGTTTCAATTTAGTTCACTGACAAAAAATAAAAAATCATCAATTATAAAACAAAGGCAATTCATCAATAAAGCAGCTCAACAGAAGACAATAGTGTCATCATCCAGCTCAAATTAGTTCAAATTTCATTCTCATCCAATAGTGTCAGTGCAGTCAAATCACTAATGCAGTATACTGAATATTAAGTGTCTTTTAAACCCCAGAAAAACAAAACCCACGGCGAGAGCGGTAATCACCCAGGCTCAGTCTCATCTGGCTGATTGAACGAACACGGTGGGATTTAGGATTCCAGGCTGCATGCAAAGTCACATTTGTGGATTGATATTATTGGATTGATCAATACTGGGACGAGTTGCATAAACATAGCCACTATATTAAAGGGATAGTTCACCCAAAAATGAAAATTTTATATTTATCTGCTTAGACCCAGGGCATCCAAGATGTAGGTGACTTTGTTTCTTCAGTAGAACACAAACAAAGATTTTTAACTCAAGTTTACTTAAGTATTGTTCCTTGTTAGAGTGTGTTAATTTCAACATTTACTATTATTTATTTTTTTACTACTACTACTGCTACTATGTTTCAGTACTGTTTTTGTTAATAAAGCACTATTTTAGTTTTTGTTCAGTATCAATTTTAAAACTATCGGTTAATTAATCGGTATCGGCCAGTGTGGTCCAATTTAGCTATCGGTATTGGCAAAATCCACTATCGGTCGACCTCTAAACAAAACTCTAAATATCTTTCAAAGATTTGGCTCATATTTGGCAAACTTTGGTTCTTTTGTGCATTAATGGTTAATTTGACAAAAGAGCGATCTGTTGTCTGAGCTTTAAAATAACCGTGAACCTTTCTGTCTCTCACTTTCTCTCTAGCTCAGAATGGCACAAAGCATCAGATGACTTTTAACGTGTCAGAGATGAAGCAGACTATTCCAGACCACCGGCTCCTGTCTCAAGCCGAGTTACGGCTTCGGATTAAGAGCCCTACAATGGACCAGGAGCAGAGGCTGGAGCTGTATCGTGGAACGGGCGATCAGGCTCGATATCTGGGCACTCGCTTTGTCTCCAAGGATTTGTCCAATCGTTGGCTCTCGTTTGACGTGAAACAGACGATAATAGAATGGCTGCAGGGCTCAGGTAAGGTCATGGCAGCATTCAGCTAACATCCGCTGTAGTTTCCCAATTGCGATTGATGAGTGTATTTGAGATGTGCTCATAAGAATGTATTCCCAAATTATGTTCTACATAATCTGTTTGGTTAAAACAGTTTACCTTTTCTCAGGCATCTACTTAATGTTGTGATAACCCAAAACCTCAGTGAGACAATAATGCAGTATTCTGTTATTGGCACTGAAATGAGAACAAATAAGAACTTGCAGACCACAGTACTTAAAAGAGCATAATAATCATGATGGTACATGTTATACTTAATAAACAAGGATCTAGAGGCTTTGCAATATTATACATTTGGATGAAATGTTACTTGTACTAAAATATATGTTAGTCAAGTGAGCAAATCTGTTTTATTAGTGGTGTTTGCTAAAGCATTATTATTACTATTTCGCATACTTATGATTAGGATTTGAATAAATCTGTAACACTAAGCATTAAATGTTGGCATATAATTAATTTTGCATTCTTTGTGCTACAGGCATGAATAATTCTTGAAACTCTATGGGGAGGTGTACTGTTACTTTACTTATAAGCGTTTGGATCTGGCGCATAAAAATTATTGAAGGAACAGCACAATCTTATTCATAATGTCATGATTTGTGGGTGGGCTTTTTCCAGAACTCTATAATTATAACAAACCATTTTTGCACAAACAAACACCACTTACATTCAGAAAATTTAAAACTCTAGCAGTAGCTTTGGCAATTTTAGTATGTTTATTCAGGGAATTACAAATATTGCCATAACCTTGTGGGCAGCCACTTTCAAATAAGTCATTTTCACAAAACTTTTAAATGTATTTTAACCTGTTAACTGCTTGGCTCTCTTTTTATATTGCCTTTTCTCCATCACATATATTAGTAATTAGTTGCCATTTGAAAGATTAAACTCTCAAAATGCATCCTGTGAAAACTGTTTTGAAATTGGATATTGCTTTACCATGGAAACGCTATATTATATTATATTTTTGGGCTCCTCCCTCTAGTGGGCGGTGTCAAGTGTCATATTAGAAAATTTGCTATAATATTTTATAATCAAAACTTTCTAATCTTTACAAAACATATTGTTGGAAAGGTCTGAATCTCAATGTTTCATATTTATTTTTTATTTATTTCATATTTTTGTAACAGAAATTTATACATTTGTAACAGGAAAATGCATTAAAAAAATTCTGTGGAGTTTAGGTGTCAGCCAGTGACTATTTTGGTATAGCACCTAACCAAAATCAAATTATTAGATTTTTGTGATATCAACTTCAAATTGGGAGCATAACTTAGTAAGACATATGGCTTTTACTTTTTATCAGTTTTAGATTCCAAAATATTTTGTGTAGTATTTATTTTATATAACATCAAAAAATAAAGTACATTTTCTTTATAGTAAACCTAAACTTTTATAACGTGTTTACACGTTATATCTTTCACCTCACCAATAATCTTCTTTAAAAAGAGACCAACCTTAGGTCTGTATTCCAAAGCATTCAATTACAACAGTTTAAGGTTTAAGTTCAGAGAGCGCATTTTTACATCTATGTTTAAAAAGGGTTAAGAAGTTACTTTTTTTTTTTACTTTCTCCTCTGAAGTGCTTATTATTGCAGTTCTGGAACTTGTCTTTTGGAAGACTGTTCTGAAAAACAGCTTTGTTTCTTGGCAGACTGTTAAAGATACTGTTAAAGACGCATACTAGTCTCCCTGAAATCCTGTAAAAGTCAGCCAATTAGAAAGTGTCTTCATTTTAGTGTGCCGTATGCATCAGACAGTTAGCTAACAGAGTGTGGGCTTTCTGACGTCTGAGACTGAGATTAATCATTTCCTGTCTCCTACTGTCATGTCTAATAAAGGTGCAAACGTTCAAAAACAGAAAAGTAGTCAGGGTTACTTTAATTTAACCATTATAATCCATAATTATGAATGTATATGTGACTACAGTCTTACTCGAAATACCACGGTTAAACTATGGCCACCATTCACGGAAGTGTAGTAAATTTGGAAAGCTAAACTTTGTGCCTATAAGTAAGGACTGTTAGCTTCCTTTCCTTCATTTAAAAGATTAACTGGCTGACTGATTTTAAAGATTAAAACTGGCTGAAACAACTATATTATTCATTCTGAATGGACTTGATTAGTATGTGACCCATTTTTATGTGCTCTTTGATGTTAGTGCATGTGTTAAATGGCTTATACAGTGCAAAACCTAAATAAACTTGTGTGTGTTTAACAGAAGAGGAAGAACGTTTGGAGCTGAGGTTATACTGTGGCTGTAAAACAGACCGGCAGAGTACTGATAAATTCCTCTTCAGTATATCAGGTATGATAATCTCAATAATCTGAAACATAGTGCTGGAAATGTATGCCAAAAGAATCCAAACTGATATAATCTTTTTCTCTGTGCACTGTATGTGTGTATTTTCAGGACTAGACAAGCAGAGAGGTGACACTGCTGGTCTGGCAGAGATGATGGCAAAGCCTTATATTCTGGCTTTATCTTTGCCTTCTAATGGCAGCTCCCTTGCATCCGCTCGCAGGAAACGAGCTGTTGGCACTGATGAAACTTGTGATGAGTGAGTCTGTTTGCTCTCTTTTACTTGTTATGTTTTGTTTATATATACAGTATAGGAGTACATATAACAAATACTTATACTCTTCTCATTTGGACCAAATTTGAATATACGGTGGCATTGTTAAATTCTTGATTCTGATTGGCAGTGCTGGTTCTGGACTTCTGGGGGTCCTAAGCACAACTTTGTCAGGCGGCCCCTGTCAGTGCATTCATAAAACCTCCAAAATGACCCCTGACCCCTTACTCTCTTCTTTCATAGCAGTTTCACTGTTAGATTAAAATAATAATAATAATAAAATAAAAAAATGACAAACAATATGACAAATTTCATAGAAAAAAGATACAAATGAAATAATTTAGCCTACTAAAAATAATAGCCTACCTTACAGAAATTGAATGATGTAATATACGTATTATTAAATTTACATTGATTGCTATACCTGATTGTCAGGTTTATTAGGCTGCTGTCACTTTAAGACAATGCATAGATCTAATATATAGACAAGCATTCGATTACTTTCCCAACTATTAATTAATTATTAATGTTTATTATTATATTATTAATGTTCACCTAAGACATAACTGATTGCATTTAAGTAAGCACTCACCAAAATGGAACTTTGGCATTTTTTGGTGGACTGCAGCACAGAAATAAATCAGGGGGGAAAAAAAAGACAAAGACGATAAACAAAATTATGCATGGAAATTCCAGCAGGGAAAAAAAATGAATAGGGCAGCTGTAATTCAGTAATTCACCATCAAGTATTTCTATATCTAAAACTGAGGTGTAAAAATGTAATGCAAGTAGGCACCACTGAACACACAATAAGATAAATAGACTCACTCTTTCCCAACATTCTCTGGCAGAAAAACTGAGACCTGCTGTATGCGGAAGCTTTACATTGACTTTCGGAAAGATCTGGGTTGGAAGTGGATCCACAAGCCGAAGGGATACTTTGCCAACTACTGCATGGGCTCCTGTACCTACATCTGGAATGCTGAGAACAAATACTCTCAGGTAGGGTGCCGTCCCATTTGACCAGTGAAGCTGACACTGTATGTATTTAAAAGCATGTACTTCACCAGTGACTGCGTAACAAAAGCTACAGTATGCCTGAACATGCTCCTTGCTGGTTTTCTTCACCTGGACAAAGGCGTATTCCAATATTAGCCTAAAATCACACACAGGAACACTTTCCCAGAAACTTTATGGGTTAATATTTTGAACATGATTTGGGATGCACTATTTCTGATCTGTTTACAATTTAGTACAAAAAACATCACTTTTAGGCCGCATTTAGATTACATGGTTCAAGTTCAAGAAGACCCACTTCTGTTTTGTTTAGTCTTTTTCCTCCCATGTGGCACAGATCGAATGACCTACGAACGTGTATGCAGGAAAAAAGCACATGGATTCCAATATTCTCGGATCACTTTCAGGCCTTATTCATATGTGGAAATAAATATGTGCATTTGCATCTGCCATGTAAGCGCTTTGATCGGATATTCCCATTAATCGTGCATCATTGAAAAAGCGAAGGTGGCGAATGACGTCAACTGTGGTGGACGCTTTTCCGGGCAGTGTTGCCAAGTCCAGTGGAATTGGGCTACTTTTACACTAGTCGCGATTCTGTTACCCTTCAAATTGCACAAATTGAAATTGAAAATATGCCTATTGGAAACATGTCAATTTCGCAAAAACTCCCATATATCGCAAAAATGTTTTTGCGCTCACATGAGGTGGTTTTTCAGGCAATGCGAAAAATAAATATTTTGCAAAACTGCAATGGAAACTTTTTTTTTTTTTTGCATTTACAGCTAACTTGGCATGCGTAAAAGTCACATGATCATTCTTGAATGCACTATAACCTCCAAAAACCCCTCATACGTAGCCGCTCTCTGAAGTTTTTTAGACCGCAGGTTAAATCGATTTCTCCCCCAACTATGGATTGTTTTGCCAAGTGTATAGTGTAAATGCAGATATCGGATATAGGTCACTTTTAAAAGAAAATATAAGCTAGTCATCAGAAAAAAATCGGCTACAGTCCAGAAAGTGGAATTGGGCATCAAGAACTGCAGTGTAAATGCGGCCTTAAATTTTCTGCCTGCAATATTTGCTTTGCTCTGGTTGGTTCTTGTCATTTCTTGAGCAAGGATACACAACACCATCCTAAGAAACGGATGACAGATTTCTTTGAGTTGGAATCTATATAATAACAGTGTGGCGCCTGTGGCTGTGTACAGTACATTAGTTAATTTTCAATGCAGAGGTACAGTATTATCCAGAGGGGCATTTACGGAGGATAGAGAAGAAGTGCAAAAGTTGGCAAAAACAAGGTTTGAATGACTAGTTACCCCCAGGGTTGAAATGTCATACATTTTATGTCATTACATCTTGAATTATAATAGTGATGTTTCTCTTTTTAGCTTTTTGAGTTGTACCTATGCAAGCTTCAAATTTCACCAGTTTTAAGAATTCACAATACGTTTTTTTTTATGCCCATAATATGTATGGGCAAAAACACTGAAACATTTCACAGAATATCTTTCTTTGTGTTCTATGGAAGAATTAAAAAGAACGGATACAGGTTTGGAAATGCACGAGGGAAAGGATATGATGACAGGATTTTCCTTTTTGGGTAAACTTTCTCCTGCACAGCAGTGCAGTACTTTAGTTCATTTACAATGCAGATAGTCTCCAGATGGACATGTGAGGTGCTTAGAAGGCAAGATCAGTGTAACGACTTCATATAAGTAATAGGGTGGACAAAATGACACTGTGAATCAAAGCGTAATCAAATTGATCTGAAAAATAAAGCTTCAAATTTCACCAGTTTTAAGAATTCACAATACGTTTTTTTTTAATGCCCATAATATGTATGGGCAAAAACACTGAAACATTTCACAGAATATCTTTCTTTGTGTTCTATGGAAGAATAAAAAAAAAAAACGGATACAGGTTTGGAAATGCACGAGGGAAAGGATATGATGACAGGATTTTCCTTTTTGGGTAAACTTTCTCCTGCACAGCAGTGCAGTACTTTAGTTCATTTACAATGCAGATAGTCTCCAGATGGACATGTGAGGTACTTAGAAGGCAAGATCAGTGTAACGACTTCATATAAGTAATAGGGTGGACAAAATGACACTGTGAATCAAAGCGTAATCAAATTGATCTGAAAAATGACTCTTTATGTTTGTCTTTTTTTGAGCTGCTTTACAGCTGAACGGAATTATTTTTGCATTAAAACATGTTGTTTAAAGTGCTAAATAAATAACGGTCACTTGACTTAACGAAACACAAGCAATTAAATAGACATACGGTTTGCCTTTAGAACACTTACAGAATGCTGCCATACTCGTCCTGATTATGATTTTCATAATCTAGGGAAACTTTTGACATTATTTGGCAGAGTTAAAGATTGAAAGTGACATCCCAGGATAGATAAATGGATTCCTAAAGTCAGGCGTGTTTTTAATTCTAGCTTTGTGACACATGCTGTACAGTATGTTCAACTGAGGTTATGAAATTTGGTTACTGGTTATTTTTTTCAAATGTTGACACATGTTTAGCATTGATTCCTATTATTGTAAAATCTATTTGATATAAAGACTTTTGCTTACATTTTTTTTATGATTTTTGTATGAAAATATAAATAGTTTTAAGATTTGCGCAAGTTGGACTAGATAGTGACAGAAAAGCAGTCAACATGCATCAATACTGTTATAAAGATGCACTCCATGAAGAGTGTCCAGAGCTCATTTATGAATGTTATTTTGGTCACCACATTGTAAATTCTTAAAGAGCAATAGTTAGCAGGCGATTATAAGAAATTGTATAATTTGTATAATGAATATTTCAATATTTAAGTGAATCCGCTTAACAGAATAAATTCATGCACGACATTTAAACTGTCTATCTTTTCTAATGAGTGTTACACCAGTGTTTCATGGTGCAATTTTACACTGTTTACCATTTTTTTTACGTTCAAATATTCTACCAAGTACGCAACTAAACTCATGATAAAAATACACCATAATGTAACTTTCAGCCATCCGTTATCGTGCGCAAATCACTCTATGCTCTATATTTGATCAGGGTTCAGCGGTCTCAATGCATTTCAACGTGAGTTCACATAACAGTTTGCTCTTATGAACACTTGTTTTGCAGTGCTTCACTGTTTCATTGCGGTATCAAATGGTATGTGTATTTGTGTCTCATAGATATTAGCCTTGTACAAACACCACAACCCTGGTGCATCGGCTCAGCCATGCTGCGTACCTGCAGTCCTCGACCCTCTGCCGATTCTATTCTACGTGGGAAGACAACACAAGGTAAATGCCTCTTTCTGACTATTTTAATTGCTTCTCAGCTTCCTACACATTTCACATTTATGAAATCAAATTATTTCTCACAAAGAAGGTGAATCTTATTTTTAGGACCATTAAGATTGTTTGCATTGTGTGATTTCCTGTGTCACAATTCGTAATGTATCTATTCAATTCAGTCATTATTGTTTTACAGTAAAGGGACAGACAGTACAACAAATGCATACATGATCTGTAAATACGTATATTAAATTATTAAATTAATGAATCGTTTTTGTTACGCTAACAAGAATGTGCTCAGTTGTCAAAATGCAAAGAATCTGCTCCTAAAAACAGGCTTAACTTTCTTGCAAAATGTACTTTATTATGTTTTTTCCTGCGGTGAAATTTCAGCCATGTTTGTGCAAGCGATGTGTTTGTGTTAGTGAGTCTGTATCTATGCGTGTGTATGTTTGTTGTGTGGTGTTCAGCTGTGTTGGCCTTGTGCTGACATCTTCATGAGGAACATTAGTGTGTATATTTATAGAGGCTTCATGTTTTTCTCTGCCCTGTTTGACATCGGCGGTGTTGAGTGATGAGAATTGTGTTCTGTGTATTAGTTTAAAGACAACACGCCTGAGAATACACTGTTCGCAAAATGAATGCAGTGTCACGCTTCACTGAAAAATACTGGCTAGTTACTGTAAAACTACCGTCCTTTGTAGACACTGTCCTCTTTGTTATACTTTGACATTTTTTAATTGCTACAGAATTCCTTTGACAAACATTTCACATCCATGCAGTGTTTTATTATATAATTACATTTCCTTTTTTGCACTTATTTTATGCCATTGTGACACATGAATTGTTTCAATAAACAAAACTCACAATTCAATCCACAATATCTAATGGACAGACAGATTGTTATGCACAAACTCAAATACTGTACTGTGAAATAATGTACTGTACTACATGAAATACTGTAGTACAGTAAAGAATCCTGTCCAAACGTTAACTAGGAGAAAGGGGAATGTTTGAAACACATGAACACATTTTGTTATATAACATTCCCACATTTAGCCTTTACAAAGCAGTTTCAATCAGTTTAGAAGTCTACATAAGCTGTATATATTAGTGTTAAATACAAGTAGGCCTACTGTAGGTGGAGTAATGGAGTTACAGCTCCTTTTCTACAGCAAATTGTGCTTTACAAACAACTGTACTTGAAAAAAAAACATATATATACATATAATTTATTAGTGTATAAAAATATTCATATTAAAAATATAATTATAGGAAAAGGGTATATCTTCATATCAGCATTTTTAATATCTAATATATGTTTTATAATATATGTATGTTATCACATACATATATTATTATATTATATTGTATGTTATTATATGTTCATATATAATACATGTTTTAGCGGGTCATGGCATATCAAATTTTCCTTGATCTTTTGACATACAGCTCTGGAAACATTTAAGAGACCACTGCCAAATGTATAGGTTTCTCTGGTTTTACTATTTATAGGTATGTGTTTGAGTAAAATAAACATTGTTTTATTTCATTCTATAAACTACTGACAACATTTCCCCAAATTCAAAATAAACATATTGTCATTTAAAACATTTATTTGCAGAAAATGACAACTGGTCAAAATAACAAAAAAAGTTGCAGCATTTTCAGACCTCAAATAATGCAAAGAAAACAAGTTCATATTCATTTTTGAACAGACGAAACTTACTAGAGAAGTGTGAAGTGTAACATAATATACCTCTGTAAATAAATACTATTTAAATTCATGTCTCGCACATTTTAATGCCCTTTGTATGGAACATATAAGCTCGCTTCAAACTGGAATCATCGCGGAATATCCGGTGATGTACACTTCAGGGCACTTACGGTCGAATAGAACAAACGTCGCACATGATAAGAGATACATATGAAATGTGCAGAGCAGGAGGGTGCGAGGACTGGAATTGGGAACCGCTGATGTAGCCTATTGTAATGTTGTATCTGGTATTGTGGTCTGTCAGCGTATATGCGTTCAGGGGGCGTGGCTTTGGATGGTGATTGCAGGGAGGGTGGGACGTTCGCTTCAGGGTCAAGTCAGCATTTTCCAAGATCTCCTACTGCACCTTTAAAAGGACTTAAAAGGAAAAAGAGAATTGCATCACTCCCATAGACTTCCACGAGAATGTGGAAGTAGCATGCATTGGGGCAAACAATAGTTTCAAACCCTGAATAGTTTCAGAGCTAAACCCCAATAATTCCAGTGTTTCCAAAGCACCCTGTCAAGTTGAAAATGTATCTCATATACAGTATATCTGTTTGTGTGTGTGTGTGTGTGTGTGTGCAAAAAAAAAACTTTATTAACATTATAATTGACCCACAAGGAACATGTTAAAGGTAATAAGAAAAATCCATGGCATGACCCCTTTAATGCTAACTCTATGGTCCTTCTCTGTTTTCTTTTGTTTGTCGTTTCCTTTTTACTTCGTCCTTTCTCCACTTCCCTCTGGGAATTACTGACATGTGGTTGCTCAGGCTTTGGAAACGACTGATGCATGTCCAGACCCGCTCTTAAAACTTGTAGTTATGACTCTATGGAAAAGTTCACAAATACACACGCTGACGAGCCTCACACCACAACATTCATGCTAGCCTTTACATAAGTTGTATGCAGACTGCAATGGGTAAAAGCTTCGATCACCTACTACACTGTTTTGTTCATAAACATTCTAACATTTTTGCAAACTCTTGTCATCAAACTCTGGCTCTGAAGCATCCTCACACAAATGCTTCTCTCCAAACACCATCAGTATTGTTTCATTGCCACCCCTTGAGGTTTTTAACAAGCACGCATTAACCAAACCGTTAGTTTCTGTCTTTGCCAAGGCACAGAATGTGCTGGCAGGGCCCGACAGAGCTTCACAAACAAATTTGACCTTACATTTTCTGTCAATTATACCATAATCCTTAGAAATGAGTCACATTACGGAAGTGCATGTGCTTTCTTCCAGTCCCGCTGATGATGAACTAGAGTGGCGTGGTTGTTAAATGTCATGTAAATCTTTCAGGGTGCTAATATAAGAGCCCCAGTGGGCAGATAAAGCCGCAACATTCTGTGTTCTCAAACGAGCTTCATTCAACAGCTGCACTGGAGTCGACAGCTTCAGGAGAGTTTAAATACACTGTGAATTCTCCTCAACTGACATGTGAAGTGGTAACACTCCATGTTTCTGCTTGTATAACAAACATGAGGTCTGTCATCAGAAACACTCACACATCCACAGATGGCGTGTTCCAGCGGTGTCTATAGCTCTTTGATGAGGTCAGACTGAAGCCAAAGCAGGTGTTTTATCTATGTAATGTGTTAACCCCTCTTCTCTTCAGATAGGTTCATTTTGTTGATAGTTGGTCAATCAAGTCCAACAAGCACTATTTGTATTGGGTAAAATTCACTCATACTGTACACCCTTTTAAATACAGCACAGGAACATAAATCTGTTTGTGATCACATCAAGTGTTCACATCAAAAAGGACAGTTCAAAATAAGTAAGTTCTCATGTGTCCTTAAATCCACCCTACTGTTTAACTAATCAAGCTCTTGTAAAAACTAACCTAAAAGATGAAAAAAATGATGTTTTACTGCTAAACACATTTGCACTGTTTGGGTTTTACAAAGTGAACATGTGCTTGTCATGCTAAAAAGTGATTGTTTGTCTTTCTTTGTTTTTAATGATAAAAAATGTGACACCCACAGTTCCATCATTCTAAATCACAGGCCACGGAGGATAATGAAAAGCACAGTGGTGAAGACACTTCACTGGAAAGGAAAGGGAGTATGTCCTCATTTCACAAGCCCACCACAGAAAAACTGATATACTGCAACAACACTACTGCAACGCAGAAACACACAGCTTCTTAGACAAACACATTTCTGGTGGGAAATGGTTTACATGTTGTAAACAGTTCAACAGTAAGCTTTTACAGTTTATATATATATATTTTTTTTAAATATATGCTGAAATCCCTTAAGCTTCTGTAATTAAATACTCTACTTTCCTACACTACAATTCATTTTAAATATGGTCAAGGTCCTGCATGTGACTCTTAATCTTAAAATTGAACATTTTTGTCCAGTATATCCTTACCAACTTTCGAACCAAACCTTCAGCCTTGGTCTAAATTCACTTGTCTCAGTTCCTCCTGAAGTCTGTTTCTCATCCACATAAAATTCAATAGGGAGTTTTATGTTGTCACCTTTGACTTACTCTCTTGAAGGATCCATTATCCAAGCATATGTCCCACGTAGGGTTGCAGATGCTGGATTCTATCCCAGTTTCTCAGGCCAAAAGGCCTACTTTTCCTTCCTGAGACTTTTCTTTTGACGTACCATTGTTATACTATCTTAATGCTGCTTTGGAACAATATGCATTGTAAATACATCTAAAGAAAATCCCATACACTCAATCAGTGAGTACTTTGTGTACTCTACTGCTACTTAAAAAAAAAAGTCATTAATATTTTGAGAATAAAGTTGAAATTACGAGAATAAAGTCATACCAATATGAGATTAAAGTTGTTATATTTTGAGAATAAGGTCATGGTATTTTGAGATTTTCACATTAATGAACTTTATTCACACAATATACTTTATTCTCAAAATAGTAAAATGATTAGTCTTATCTACAACTTTATTCTCATAATATTACAACTTTAATCTCATATTACTAAAACTTGAATCTTGTAATTTTTTTAACATGGCAGTAAAACAGCATTTTAACTCTAAAACAAAATGTAATGTCAAAATTACTCATTTCAAACAATATATAAAAGCAGATTTTTATATTTTCTGATGGAAATAATATTAAGAGACAGTTGTCTGGGCTGTCGGGGGAGCCGGGAGCCGGGAGCCCCAAGACCAGCAACTTGATCGAGATTGTAAACACAAACTGTACAGTGTTCTGTATCATTGAGGGAGCGCTTTGTACAGAATTCGTCTTCAGTTGCTGATCTAACAAATCAAACCACAAGGCACCACCCAAAAATGCCACGGTAACCAATTGCACAATTAAAAATGAGAAGTCATGCAATTATTGTTTTCATAGTTAATCACTGTTGTCACTTCGGAAGTACTCTTGCCCATCCCGACGTCTCAGAATATGTCAAGCTTGTTAATGAGAAGTTGTGTAATGTGTGCATAGAGGACAATGACCAAATTTCAGAACAAAAAGCTTATGTATCTACATTAAAGTACTTAAACCGATGAGCTTTGTAAAAATCGACAATGTCAAAACAATAGTGTACAGTATGTGGAAAATAACGTGTTTTTTGAACCTTAAACCGCATAAACACATTTCATTACACCAAATACACAAAATAATGTTCTTTTAGCAACATCATATGACCCCTTTAATATGAGACAACAATAAAATAAAAACAGAAAATCACTCACTGCTCTGGACTGAATAACATATAGCTCTGATAAGAAGACATTTCTTACTTGAAGGCTGCTTTTAAATGCTCTAGCGTGAAGATAAACATGGTAGATTGTGTGCGTAAACCATAGTAAACCTTTCTATGC